TTTTTGAAAAAACTAAGCCTTGTGGTTTTTTTTTTCTTTCTAGAGTTTGTAAAAAAAAAAACAGTATTTGAAAACTGATGAACCACAAGGTAGACGGAGGCATGTCTGCTACCACAGCCCTGCCCAGGGTGCAGACTGTAACCTCTGCTGCCAGGGTACGGACTTCCCAGCCCATCTCAGTCACCTATTTAAAATACCAAGGGGCTCCTTTATAATTTGCCCCATGTTGGCATCATGTTGTTGGAAAGGAAAACAAAACCCAGCATCTTGAAGCCATGAGGCAAGGATTGCAGGACATTGTCTTGGAGTATAGCTGGTCAAAGCTTGTAAAGCTGACTTTTTCTGTAAAAGGGATCCACTCTTGGTTCCTTCAACTAAATCTCTCACAAATAAATGGACTAGTAGTATAAAGAGGGGAGAGATGACACCAAGCTGAGTGGTGCGGTTGACATGCTGGAGGGACGGGATGCCATCCAGAGGGACCTTGACAGGCTTGAGGGGTGGGCCGGTGCTAACCTCATGGAGTTCAACAAGGCCAAATGCAAGGTCCTGCACCTGGGTCAGGGCAATCCCAAGTACAAATATAGGCTGGGCAGAGAATGGCTTGAGACCAGCTCTGAAGAGGACTTGGGAGTGGTGGTGGATGAGAAGCTGAACATGAGCTGGCAATGTGCGCTTGCAGCCCAGAAGGCCAATAACCGTTTCCTGGGCTGCATCAAGAGAAGCGTGGCCAGCAGGTCGAGGGAGGTGATTCTCCCCTTCCACTCCTCTCTCGTAAGGCCCCACCTGGAGTCCTGTGTCCAGTTCTGGAGCCCCCAACACAGGAGAAACATGGAGCAGCTAGAACAAGTCCAGAGAGGGCCACAAGGATGATCTGAGGGCTGGAGCACCTCTGCTATGAGGACAGGCTGAGAGAGTTGGGGCTGTTCAGCCTGGAGAAGTGAAGGCTCCGGGGGGATCTTATAGTGGCCTTCCAGTACCTGAAGGGGCCTGCAGAAAGCTTGGGAGGGACTTCTGTCAAGGGCAGGTAGTGATAGAACAAGGGGAAATGGCTTTAAACTGAAAGAGGGTAGGTTTAGATTAGATATTAGGGAGAAGTTCTTTACTGTGAGGGTGGTCAGACACTAGAACAGGTTGCCCAGAGAAGCTGTGGATGCCCCCTCCCTGGAAGTGTTCAAGGTCAGGTTGGATGAGGCTTTGAGCAACCTGGTCTAGTGGAAGGTGTCCCTGCTGATGGCAGGGGGGGTGGAACTAGATGATCTTTAAGGTCCCTTCCAACCCAAACCATTCTATGAGTCTATGAGATCCAAGTAACTGTCCTGCCTCTCTGAGATATCTATGTGGACTCTAAAACAGGCTGTGTCAGAATGATGAAAATGCTGTACCAGGACCATGAAATCTGATTTATTCCAATGGAGTATTTCAAAACCCAGATAGATCTTGTAAAGTGTAAGGGAATGTAGACTTGAGTGTAGACCCAGTCCAGTAGCAAGTTACAGCAGTGAATTTGAATCCAAATTGGGTTTTGATTTAAGGGATCTTGTTCATGACCATAACTGTTAGCAGCATGTTGTAAGATCATAAAGCCATTTTTTAATAATTCTGTGCAGTTGATTGTTCCCTTTTGTAAAAAATGGTGGTCATTTCAGGGCAATAGGTGTGCTTCAGTTTCAGTAATAAAAAGCACTGCTTAGCATGGATGCATTGAGGTACATTCACAGAGTATGAATTTGTTTTCAGCTTCCAAAAATTATAGAAGAGAATTCTAGGATAAACAAAATTAAAGGGGTTTTTTTAATTATTATTTTTATTCTGAGCCACATGCAGGAGCAGGCAGTGGAAGTTTTTTATTCATAGGCACAGAAATAAAGTAGTGACACAGTCTATACTGAGAGGCACAGCATAGGTGCAAATACAGGGCACATGGTATATCTGTTGCCTTTTCAGAAAAGAGTTTACAAACAAAGCAATTCTCAATTTTTAAACCTCCTTTTTAAATCTAAAACATTCATATCTGCAATGACTTTTTACTGATATTCTGATAATAGTGTAAGACAGTCTACACAAAAAGCATTTGCCTGCTGCAAAGGAATTGTACACATCTAAGAAGCAGACAAGCAGCAGAAGCGGCATGGAGAGAGGGATACAAACAGGACATGTATGTGTGTTAAATATTCAAGTAAATATAGATGATCAATACCTGTTATTATTACATGACCTACTTCTTTTTGTCAACAGCCATGAATAGGAATGACACAATAGTATACAACTACCTTGGCAGTGAACCTCAGCACTGCACAGACACTCACACAACTGCTGCTTAGGGAGTCTGGGAATGTAAACGGAGCGTGAGTGAATCCTACAGCCCCGGGTGCCAGTCCACCAAGGTGGCCGGACGGGTAAATCCAAGGGTGCCCTGCATACGGGGGTGTGCATGGATTCACATTCACATATCAGCCATGTCCTGTGTGTGGCTTCCCAGGGAGAGTGCAGAGCTCACTTAGGAGGCACTATAGACTCAACTCTGGACTGTTGGTGAGCCATTAATGTCTGAAAATAGTAAACAAACAAACAACAAAAAAATCCCAAAACATTCTTCTGTAGCTATATAAACTGTACTTTTAAAAAAACCCAATTTTAAGTAGTCTGACCTTTTTCATGCTTCAGAAATTACTTACACAGTGAGCTATCTACTTAATTTGCAGTTTTAAATGCAATAGAAGATATATGGATTTTATGTATGTATAGGTAAGTGAATACTGTTTTGCAGAAAATATTTATGAGAGAAGACCTCCCTCTGTCCTTTTTTAGACTGTGAGAATAATACATAATGTACTACCAGTAAAATTACATTCTGAGTAAATGTAATCACTACTGTTTTGTGTTATCTGGAGGCCTCTGTGACTGATTAGTCATATTCTGCATGTTAAGTACTACAGGGTCAAGTGTCAGAGTGACTGAGCACCATATTTCCCATTTATTTTGTTCAGAGTTGCGTGGACAGATCATTAGAACTGTGTGAGTAACAATTTCTGTGATTCACTAGCAATTCTGAAAAATAAGAAACTCTCCAACTGGAAGCTACAGTGTTTTTTTTTTCATAGTGAATAAATAGACTAGGACAACCAAAACATTTGTTGAACATCTTTAACAAAAGCAAATTAAATCTGGAGTCAAAGGGCTGCATTCAAAGCAGCATGTGAGATCAGTTCATGAAAGGTGGGAGGAGATGCTGCTCATATGTATCTTAGGTCTCCTGAGAGATGAGAGCCTGAATTAAGTCCCTTCTCTAGGTAGGTTAAAAGATAGGATTACTCCCAGGTTTTGGAGATAGGGAAGGAAAACAGTAAGCAGTGGGCTGGAGTGTGGAGTATGTAGCTGTTTGAGTGGTTTTGGGAATAGTGCCTGTCCCTCCCTCGGACTCACATATTAACCAAAAATGTTTATTCTTGGAAATGCCAAACCCATTTTTAATGTTTTCTCTTATTTTTTAAGTTCTGTTTTAACCAAAACTGTTCCTATGGCTGCTTCTTAAAATACTTCTAAGAGTATTTTTCAAAACTTTTTCCGAAAGGTACTGAAATGCTTTACTTGGGTCTAGTCTGACGGCTCTTCAGCTGGAGAGCACAGTTCCTCCTTCCCCACAGTCACAGTGTTGTGGAGGCCCAGAACTGGAAGAGTTTGGTTTGTCTTGCTGTTCCAGAGTGGGATGATCATATTAACAGCTAATGAAGGCGCTGCCTCTGAAAATGAAGAATTTTCTTTACCTTTCCCTCTCAAATCCCCATATGAATTATGTTTTATCAGTGAAATCACTCCTGGATTGCACAGTCCACTAGGAAGATTAATAAAAGTCTTTTAGAACTATAATCTAGATGTGCTAGCAAACTTGAATAAATTTACATACATGAAAAAGAGCAAATTTAGATAATTGAACAGTGCACAGCTTTGTGCTGAGAGCATACAATAGTATCTCTTTCACCAGATGTGTGTGACTAAGCAGCCCCTTATTACTGGTTGCAGAACGCTAACTCCAGAAAAGGACATTAAAAGTGTGGCCTTTAAATATAGACGGAGGGAATCCATTATCTACATAGCGCAAGAAATTGCAAAGTGGCAAATTACGTGGCCAGTAGGAATCAGACAATAAATCTGCTTTTCCTGGACTGCATTCTTCATAAAAGGAGGATGCTGTAGTAGACTATATAGTTTGTTAGGAAAATGATTCATGGAGAAGTACAATTTCAAAATACATATAATGAGGTATGAGAATCCTCACTATGTATACAGTTATCTCGTTGTGTAGGTTTATTCATGTGAACTCCTAACAAAGCAGGGAAATACCAGCTTCTTGCTTTTATCAGCAGGTATCTAAGAATAACCTGCTGGAACTTGCATTCCTTTAATGTCAGAGCTTTTAAGTTAGAAGACAGAAGAGAGACAGGGAGGGAGTATATGCGTTTTCCAAATTTTACACTTTGTTTTGAAAAAAAAATTCTAACCCGCACTTAGAATATTTTAGTCATTTTTCCCCTAATAAACTCTTGAATTACAAGCAATTAATGAATAAATAGAAGACTTAAGATTTATTAAGCAAAATCACAAAACATGGATAGCTAAATTTAAGAATGCTGCTAAAATATAAATTCATTGTGTGCCATGTTCTTCATCTTTGCCTAGATGACAGAGGTGAATGTTGGCCAGAGAAATTAAATTTGCATGCTTACTCTCCTAAGCTGAGTGGGTGCTCATAGCATTCGCCAGTGGCTTTTACGGGAGCGTTACAATAAAGATGAACAGTGAAGTATTTTTGATCTGTTATACTGTATACATCTTCATGAAACACTTTTGATTCAGAGCTTGAGGAGGGGGAAAATTACTTTTTACAATCAGGAAGAGGCAGCTAATAACCAGCTCAGACAGAGAGAGGCTCCTGATACAATTACAGCTCTATCTTTCTGTGGCAATGAATTCCTTCTCTTGTCTGTTGTGACGCTTAGGTGAAAAACATGCAGCAGAGCCAGATGATGCCGAGCTGGTGAGCCTCAGCAAAAGGCTGGTGGAGAACGCGGTGCTGAAGGCTGTACAGCAATATTTAGAAGAAACGCAAAACAAAACCAGACAGACTGATGGAAGCCCCGTGAAAACTGAAGCAGCAGCAGGCGACTGTAAGAATGAGACCGACAATGATAACAGCAAGTGAACACTGTGCAAAAAGCCTGGGAGCAAACATCCCACCAAGAATAACCACAAAGACACGTCCCAGCTCCCCACTGAAATTTGCTAAGTGGTGCTGGGTGACAGGCACTCTGCTTTGTGAGTCTCTTATCAAAAGTTTGTTCTGAATCAAAGGACACTGTCTACTGGTTTAATAAGTGCTTGCACTGCTGAAAATCTGTTGAATGCTGGGAGGGATGGACGGTGGAAAACAGACAAGAGTGGTGAAGCAGGCAGCTCCAGTCTTCACTGGCTCTTGGTACCAAGAGTCCCTTTCTTGCTTTTGAAGAGAAACTGATGGGATTGTTGTGAATGGCCGTGGAAGAGGCCTCGCCATACGTGGAAGCGATGCCCTCCGCCCGAGGGCTTGGCACTGCCGCAGGGCTGCTTGCTCTATGCGAGAGCACATGCTGTTTCCTAGTCAACAGCAGTCAACCCCAAGCTAAAAATTACCCCTACAGATATTCATTGCAGATCCTATTACACAGTATGTAATATGGCAGGAGTTTCTCTTAAATGTGACGCTCTACTGTTCTTCAATTTTTGGTAGCATTTGTTGATGTAAATTATATTTTTTGACAAAGTACCTTTTTATAAAAAAATCAATATGGGCAAAAGGCTGAGCACTTACTACTATCCAAATCAGATATGGTCTCTTTATGTCCATATAGCAACGATTCTAGATTACATTATTTGTTATAAAATGTACTATATCGTTCTCTTCCTCCAGGAAAGAGCCATGAAGCAAACTTAGAAAAGGAAGCTTTGCACAGAGAAACACAGGCCCTGTTATCCAAACTGAATCAGATAAAGGAGCTGTTATCCAGTCCTGAGATCCGCACAAAAATTAGCAAAGAACTGTTTGAAGACAGACACAACTCTAACATTAAATGGAAAAGCTGTGCTGACTCTGGATCTCCAAATGCATGATTGCCATGATGTAACATCTCATTGAGTTGTTTAAAGACAAAAAAAAATATTCAAGGAACTTTCTGGTTTGTTTGGTTTTGGTTTTTTTTAACTGAAAATATGAATGGGTATAAATGGCTCATGAGGAATCATGCTGAAATATTTGCACAGATGAGTATATTTCATAATGATGATGTACAGCCACTCCTCAGCTCTGCTTTGAAACACACTTGAATGTGCAGGTATATGTCATGACACCAAAGTGAAAAAATACTGATTTCAAATAAATCTGAGCAAACACTGTGCCCTTCCTTTTTCACTGCAAATAATTCAGATTTTTCTCATAGATCCTTTCCCTCACAATGACATACAAATATTAAAAAATTGATGTTTTTAAATACTTTAAAATGTATATTTGGAAAAACCTCTTTTAGTTATCTGCCTTTTGGATATGTACTGGCATTTTAGGTTGGCACTGTCTGTTTTTTTGTTAACAGCACTTGAATACTTGTATAGATGCTGACATATTGTTTCTGATGATGTTTACACTATTGCAAGAATGTTTTAAATTTCAGAATTAAATTCAGGCTCCACTGATCTCAATGGGAGACTTTCATTGGCTTTAATGGAGTCAGGATGCTGCAATTAAGATTTTTTTGTGAAAATAATAATACTCCTTGGGATAATAGTTGCCTTTTTACTTTTGTAGAACAGTGTATTTGTCTTTTATTTTTAATGTTTCCTCCATATCTACCTTCTGCTGCCTGAAGTGTCAGATTGTTCTCAGTGTTCCCTCCACACACCTGCAAGATTCACTGAAGCTTTGGATGTACAACAATGCAGGAGTAGGTCCAATATTTGAATTTTTTTATAAACAATTTGCCTCTCCTCATAAATGCTATATGATAATGTGTTGTGATTGATGTCAGAATTGTGCTCCTAGAACAGCTATGTGCATATTCTTCATTGGTCTCAAACACTGGTCATTTATCTTACGTCAGAGCTTATTTTTTTTTCTCATTTGATATATAACAGTATATTCTGAAATATGTGTCATACATGCCATGTTCACAATAAAGTATTTTTTTTTGTTTGCACTCTTATGTACAATTTCACCCATCTCCAAGTAGACTTTAATAAAATGAAGTACTTTACAAGTAACAGACCTGACAGAAACAGTGCTTGTATGAATCACGCCGTTAAATTGACTATGGGTGTTGTGCCAAGATACTGATCTACAGCTTCAGTGCTGGAATCCTATGAGGAAATCCATGCAGATAGGATAATCTCAAGTCATTATTGTTTTAAATAGAAAAACTTTGCAAAGGTAGAGATTAGTTTCTACTCTGGGCAACATGGGATTAGAAGGACATACTAGCACAACTTCCTAGAGGTCTGTGTCTACTCTTCAACTTCAAAACTGATTTTGAGTTTAACAATTAGACTCAAATTTGCTCTAGAATTAAAAAAAAAAAATCTGAATTTGCTGTCATCACTGGAGATAAAAACCCTACAACTTTCACAAGTGGATCTATAAATTGTTGCCTTATTCCATAGGCTGAGGAGAGATGCTGGAATTACTGTAGCCTTGTATAAAATAATTTTCCTTGTCATATCAAACATTAGTGAGTACTAGTTTGTTCAAAGGTAGCTATTTAAATTTAGGTCCAACCTGAAAATGACAACACATAACTAGACAGCTATGAAAACAGGAAAACAATTTATTGTATTATATCTGAATTTCAGGTTGTCATATCCCATTCCTCCATATAAGTCATTGCCATTAATAAATACCTTTTTATATCATTCAGCTTGTAACAGTGAAGTAAAACTGTAGAAATTAATCACTGAATTTATGTCCAGGCACTTTGATAGGTGACCTGGTTGTTAAAGACTCTGCTCGGACACAGTTCTTATGGATGGCATCAAGAACAGCAGCTCTGAAAAAATGGAGTATAGGGGACTTTAATGGCCTGAACATAGGCAGCTAGTGTCATGCAAGATGCCCTAGAGTGGGCACCACGTGTTCTCCTGGGTCAGGAACTGTGGGCTAGAGGATACCCCAGAGCCTCTGAAAAGGCACTGATTACCTATGTTTAAGCAACTAAAACCTGTCTTTGATTTTTCAGGTGTTTTAACCCACGGAAGTCAACAGGGCTTTTGTTTCTAAACCGTTCATGTTCTTTTAAAATGCCAACCATAGCCCTTATTTCTGGTATTGACAAGAGACCACTATTAAGTTACTCAAAATTGAAAACAATATAGGATAAAAAAAGATTCCTGCATCTGGATTAATTCTCTTCTGACAACCCTTCTTCTTGCTTTCTCTATTTTTTTTATTATTGTTTTTTTTCCACTGGTAGTGAAACTTGGCTACCAAACTAAAGCATAAATCTCTTGTACAGAGCTCTGAGATGAGCACTGAAGAATGCAGATACACAGAGACTGAACCTAACATAGACAGGTGTGCAGCTCTGAGCCACATACACCAGAACAAATGTGTTGCGTTCCTCACACTCATAAATTATTTTCAGACAACAGTTCTGCTTTTTAATTAATCACTTTTGGGGAATGTCTTGAGGTAGTGATGCACAGGTTATTCCGGGAAAGTGTTGGCATTTCAAAACAGATGGTGCAAGTTTGTCCATGTTTTGTTTTCAGTTCTACCTTCTAGCTTGCTCATACTCAGGAGTATTTCTACACTGCTTATTGTAGAGATGTCTGTGAGAGGTTTAAAAGCAGTAGCTCAGCTTCCAGGACTAGTCTAGCTGGAAGTCTTTGGACTGCCTGAGACCCACTGAGAAACTGTTCCTGATCTACTCTTGGTCCGGGTATAGAGCACAAAAGTTGCAGAAGCCATACATTCAATATCTGAGCAACCCTTGTCATAAATTGTCTGCACTGTTGAGCTGCATCAGAGGTGTTTAAGAGTAACCAGAGAGATCAGTAAGTCCATGTAAGTCCTGACCAACAGCCACCAATTCTCTTACGTAGGAAGAAAGACTGTTGTAGAGACCGGTGTCTCCAAGCATGGATGAACATGGCAGAAGGATGCTCACTCTGATAGCTAGATGGTAATGCAGCAGATGAAAGTGCATCAAGATCTTTGTGAAAAGGAAACTAAATAGTGTTTCTGTGTTGACTGAAGGTAATATAAATCTAAAAAGAATTGGAGCTTAAGGTCAGATTCAGATGCTGTGTCCAGATATACAGATATTGGGACCTACACTGGATAATGCCCTGTAGCAGGGCTTCAGTAGGGCTCCTGCTGAAGTAAGTGTGATGCTTTGAGTGGTAAAATACTACTTCATGGCAAGGTTATACAATCAGGAAGTTAGAATTCAAGAGGCTTCATGTTATGTATTTATAGAAGTTTCTGATTATAACTGCACAATTTTGTGTGTACTATTTTAGCCTAAAGGCCGTGTGAGTGTGTCATGAATCAGAGTGCCAACCATGCTTCGTTCTGGTGACAAGAATGATATTGTTTCATTTTTGTCAGTCTAGACGTGACTCATATATTCTTGTTAGAATTCTTATTTTATGAAAGTCTTGAGATATCCTACACATTTATGTAGTCAGCAAGCAGGAAAAATAGAACAGCAATAGAACACTGCACTCAGCGGAGCTTCTGAGTTGAAGTTTAGTAAAAACACGTTTACTTTTTAAATTCACTTATCTCTGAGAATGTGCTTGTGAAATGAAGCGTAAACTGAAACTTTTTCCCTGCAGATGAAACACTACCTGCAGAGCCAGCTGCAGCCCTGTGGAAGCCAGGAGGGAATCCCGTTGCCTCAGGTGGAGCCTGGTAGCTGGATAGACGCCTGAGGGTAGCTTCACTCTGCTGCTAGCCTGGGACTTTGTTTGGCAGAACCTTTTCCAAAGCAGTCTTTTATCTGTGAATGTCCTCTGCCTCTGTTCAGCTGTTAACGGCACATTGTCTAGGCTGGAGGAAATGAGGGACTGAATCACTACCATACCTTTCAGCTGTTTCCATCCCTTTGGAGCAGAGGGAAGGTTGTTACTGAAATCCAAAGAGGTTGGTTCCTTTGCAGAGAAACCTCTGGTCTCACTCAG